CAAGATTCCTCCTTTTCAAACTCTCCTCACGTGTGTTTGTACCTGTGCGCTATATCGATTTCGTCTCAGCTTTCGTTCGATATCAGATGAGTAACAAGCGTAGAACACCTGTCATTGTTACAACTAACTTCATGCACGAATACGATAACATTTCTCTTTGATTATTCAACTCTGGTTCGTTAAGTACGAATTAGAGACGGATGTTCCCTCCTACGAGTTCTACAGCTTGTAAAACTTGAACTGTAACGAAACTTGCACAATCTGTCGGTGAGATTCGTTCGTCGTTATTCCTCTATTCGCGAGTATAAGAGAGATGGGTTTTCTAAGGCAGCGAAATATAGAAAAGTCTAGGTTTGAAATTTCGCCACGTTTATTCTTTCACCGCGACGAGCTTCGCCTCCCCCAAAACATCGTCAGACTTCCCTTTTGTCTGTGCCCGTGCACGTAAAACAGGCCACCTAAAATTATCTTCCCTAGCTATGGTGCTACGAGAATATTTTTATACGTAATTTAAAAGGTTTCAAAGCGCCTCGGCTATGGACGCGGAGTCCCGGGCTTGCCGACCGGAAGTCGCCTGGTCCCTCGAATTTTGCAGATTTGCAAATTGCGGCTCAGCCGGGATTAACCATCGACGACCACACGAGCCGATGATAACGACGAAACAAAGTTGCGTTGTGAAGAAACACGTGAGAAGGTTGCAGTCACTGAGTAGAATGTATCCGAATATGTTGAGAGAGAGTTGAAGCGCGTTTAGAACGTTCGAGAGCGAATGTCAGCCCAGGATGACCGGAGCAAATTATGGGTGTAGAGTCCAAGTTTGTTAACCAGAAATCACAGGTTCCAGCACAGCTGAACGATGGAGAAGCTCGAAAGGATCTTCACGGTGTTAGACGTTTTCATCGGCGTGGTAGAAGGCAAGACTTGCAAGAAACGCCGGCAGCAACATGATAAGGCTATTACGCGAAACGATGCCACCCTTACGGACCTTCCACGATCCATTTAAGCCAGTCCGCATTTGTCGGGCAGGGAAGATCTCGCGCAGCAAAACGCCAACCGCCACCTCCTTCCGTATTTCAATGGCGGCTCTCAAGCGGCGAGCTTCTCGATAGCAGCGGATTAATACGCTTGAAACGACACACACGCTCGTGCACGTAGAAACACAGGGACGAAGAGAGGCAGAGAGAAAGGGTTGAACGACCCAGGACGAATTCGTCTAAGCGAGTATTTCACGGTGAAATGTTGGATCACGTTTGTAAGCTTTCTCACTCTCTCGATCTCTATTCTCTTCGTCTCTCCGCTATTCGCCTTAACGCGCGGATATTGGAAGCAACCGAGTCAGCGAGAGAGATCCGTTTGACGATTTTAAAGCCACTGCTTTCACGTGTGACTAAACGCGAACACCCTAACCTCGATAACGGGTGTA